GCTCTGACCTGCCGGGCCCAGAGGCGCCGGGGCTCTGACCTGCCGGGCCCAGAGGCGCCGGGGCTCTGACCTGCCGGGCCCAGAGGCGCCGGGGCTGTGAACGGCTGGGCCCAGAGCTGCCAGGGCTCTGACCTGCCGGGCCCAGAGCTGCCGGGGCTCTGACCTGCCGGGCCCAGAGGCGCCGGGGCTGTGAACTGGCACAAATGAAGCACTGAGGGTGACCCCCTCAATCGGGACAGGCTGAGCAGTTCTGCTGCCCTTTCCTCATACGCTACGGATAACACCATTGCATTCCCCCCGCATTCAACATTTGTATTGAAGCTCATGTTAAAATGCTCCCAGACCCAGAGCGTGTCTGTACAGCCGGGTATGAGGCTCAACTTATGCAAAATTGCCCATTAACAGTCATCAACTACACATAGCACATACTCCGCGCTAGCCCAGATTTCGGGGAATGAACGGGACGCTGCGGCCGCGTGTTCGGGTGCATCACTCTCACCACAGCAAGCGGAGCTGGTGGCAAGCAAACCGAGCCCTGAGGGCTCGTCGTTCGGTAACGGAGAATTGAGGTTAGGTTGTGCCTCAGCCAATACAATCCCCCAGAGAAGTGCATTGACTTTGTGACACCCGCCAACACGGCGCATTTGGGCAACGCCGCGCGCTACCTAGGCAGTGTGGGAGCGGTCGTGTAAATGCAGCCGGGGCCTGATGCCTTTCCCAGCGCAGCACTTGCTGTCGGGGAGAGCGCATGATGCAGCGTAACTATGAAATGAGGCCGCGCTGACGGGGTCAGAAAACCCAACGGCGGGTGGGCGGGAGCGAGTCTGTGGGTCACACTTTTCAGACCCGGTGTCCCCTTTCAGGTACAGGTGTTTCATCACGTGCTTTCCAAGCGCAGATTAACGGTTCACGTTCCATTCAAATTGCCGCCGACGAAACTGGCAACTAGTTGACCACTGGGAGGGGGTGATGGGGAATTCACGGGGGGACCCCAGGGCCGGGAGGTGGCAGGAGCCGGGAGGTGGCTAGCCGGAGACCGGAGCTACCTTTTGCAGAGCACCTGGAGCTCCCAGCTGGGTTCAGTATGGTGGGGGCTTGGCTGGGCTGGCCCCTGGTTTCAGCTTCACGCCCCCCGCCCCGTCCATGCGAACGCAAGGCCAGCCAGCACCGGGTGGCTTCTCAGTTGTTCCCTGGTGAGATGAAATGGGCCGTTCCTGTCACGTTGGTATGTGGCCGCTGCCTGCCTCAGTTTCCCTCTGGCCTTTGCGGTGCCCAGAGGGCGCCCGCTGCTCCTGGCTGGCACTGGAGTGCGTCCCATGGGGCTGGCGGGGCCGTGACGGAGCTGGGCGTGATCCCCCCTCAGCTTGCCAGAGGGTCCCGAGTGACAAGGTTGGGGGGTGGTGATGGAGGGATTTCCGTGGCCCAGTTCCTGTCCGTGGACGAGACGCTCCCCTCAGCCGGATTCTCTACCTCACAGAGATTGGGGTGGGGGGGAGGCGCTGTTTGCCGTGTGGCTAAAATGTGACCCCCCCCACACACACCCCAGGCATGTTCGGGCTTGAGCCGGGGCAGGGGAGGGAGGGCTGAGACCCGGCCGGGATGTGGGGGGTGCTGGAGTCTGAGCCGGGGAGGTTCCCACACCATGGATGAGGCAGGGCTGGGGGGCTTGATTTCCCCATGTGACCCCCCCCACATTAACCCCCCTCGGTGGGGTAGCCCCCCCTTGTAACCCACCCACGACCACATGGCCCCACATTGACCCATTGGGCGCCTGCTCCCGCCTCCCTCCCTGCCCCATTGGCCCAGCCGTTACCCCATATGACCTCTTGACCCCAAATTGACATTTACTTCTGGTGACCTGAAGCCTTCCTGACCCCATGGTGACCTCTTGTGACCCCACAGTGCCCCGTTGTTACCCCATGTGACCTCATTTGAGCCCCTTTGGACCAGATTCCCCCATCCCCCCGGGTCTCCCAGCTCTGTCTGCAGATCGAGGGGTGGGGACAGACTCAGAATCAGGGTTAACAGTGGGGGCTGTGCCATAGGGGAGCCACGGGGCACCGCGGTATGAGTGGTGGGAATGGGGGACCCGGTGCCATAGGGGAGCCACGGGGCACCCCGGTATGAGTGGTGGGAATGGGGGACCCGGTGCCATAGGGGAGCCACGGGGC